GCAACTAAGACTAACCTGAGCACAACCAAGCCCCCACCTGAACAGAACACGCCTCCAGCCAATCAGAACACGACCAACCCCCCAACTAATCAGAACACAGCCAAACCCCCTACCAATGAGAACACACACACACCCAATCAGAACACAGCCAAGCCCCCACCCAATCAAGTCACACCCCCACTAGCAGTTAAAAGGAAGAAGCAGCTGCAATCTCACATCACTCTGAAAAGCCCAGAGCCGAAGACAGAAGCCTGAAGATGATGAATGAGACTTCATCGAAACGTTGCCTAGATACTTCGAATCTTACGCGGGAGAAAACCCGAACAACCAAAGATCCACATACAAATACCCGCGAGAACCTCAGAAAACATATATATATATATGGCATTCGGCTTTGTTCGGGTATTTTCCCACGTCATTGTAGTTGTGTTTTTAAAGTTGTAGCAACATTTTGGCAGAATCTCATCTGCCATCATCAGGCTTTTAAGCTCCGGATTGTTCTGGCTGCACCAAAAGGCCAGTTGTTCAACCTCCCATCTATAAAACAGGAACTACCCTACCTTTCAAGGTCATTGTTTTATATTAAAGTTTAGGTTCCTCTTCAGCTTATTCTTTCAGTCTATTAAATCTATTTTTAATTGCTTTCGATGCAGGTTTAGAAGAGTACAAAAACATCTGTCTCATACTACTGTTCCTTTGGATTAAGTGTTGAGTCTGTGGAGAATGTCAATGGCAAGCTTTCTACTTGGCCCTGTAACTGCTCAACCACAAAAAACTAAAGAAGTTGGACAAATGCAATTCCATAAATGTTATTGTAGGAGGCAAGGGAAAGGAAGAGATATTGTTTTCATACAAGATGACGGGGGAAACCATGAAATATAGACCTTAAAAAAATATATCCCACAAGAGAAAATAGAGAGGAATTTTCAGATCTCAGACAGATGAAAATTCAAGAGTACAGCTAATGATGAATAACAAATGTCTAGTTTCGAACAGTTAATGGAGCCTTTAAATCAGTAAGGAGAAAGAAATGGCATGGATGAGGAAGGGGAAAGTAATCCATCTGTGGGGCAACTTATTATTTTGCATAAGTTGTTCAGACCGTTCAGTGTGCACCCAACATGCACAGGTACTAAAATTCAGGCAGAGAGACAAAAATAATGTGTATCTCACCAAGGTGAGCAATTCTAATTTGTACATATTATGAAAGTCTTTTATTTTCAGGTATAAAAGTACAGGTAGTCTTCGAATTACAACCATAACTGAGTCCAAATTTTCTGTCGTTAAGTGAGATATTTGTAAAGTGAGTTTTGTCCCATTTTGTGACCTTTCTTGCCACCATCGTTAAGTGAATCATTGCAGCTGTTAAATTAGTAACATGGTTATTAAGTGAATCTGGCTTCCCCCATTGACTTGGCTTGTTGGCAAAAACTGATCACATGATTCAGGACACAGCAACCGTCATAACTATGAGTTGATGGTCAAGCATCTGACTTTTGAGCGCATGGCTGTGGGGATGCTGCAATGGTTGTAAGTGTGAAAAATGTTCATAAGTGGAAAGACTTGGTGTAATTAAATCAGGACTGAAACTTGCACAACATTACCAAACAGAGAAAATAGGAAAAATGTCTATTCCACTCAGCAATTGTTTTCCATTACATTTTTCCAGGTACCGCTTATAAGGCCAGTCATGGTTTATGAGCCTGTAGAGATTCTCAGTCATCCAGGTCATGGTTATCCCAAAGGTGCTTTTTCAGGAGGCAACTGGACTTTCTTATTTTTTTTCTTTGAAGCTGTTTCACTTCTTATCCAAGAAGCCTCTTCAGCTCTGACAGGATGAGGAATGGAAGGATTTATACACCTTGCAGACAGCTGGTCATTTGCATCCTTTTAGAGGGTCATTGAAGCACTTGGAGAGTCACTCAGGTGACCCTGAGGACTCAGATAAACCTCCAAGGGCTTCAATGTCCCTCTAAAACAATGCAAATGACCAGCTGTCTGCAAGGATTCCATTCCTCACCATCCTGTCAGAGCTGAAGAAGCTTCTTGGATGAGAAGTGAAACAGCTTCAAAGAAAAAAACAAGAAAGTCCAAATGCCTCCTGGAAAAGCACCTTTGGGACAATCATGGTTTTTTTTATGGAGATGTCTTTTTAATAGCAACATACTGGGATCATGCAAAGCACACCACATTTATGCTATTGAAAAAGTGAGAAAAAATAAATGTTAATATGGATTTTGTATTTTTTTTAAGATGAAAATTTCTTTGAATTTTTTTAAATGTGTCTTTTTCTTAAGTGTACACTTATGAAGAACAACTTCTTTGGGGAGGGGGGGAAACATATCTGAAAGTGCTTTTCAGCCAAACCAAATTCCATAAACTGCCCTATTTCTAATCTGCTCCATTAATCTGCAGTAATGGATTGCCTTGCACTATTATTCCAAGCCATTTTATAGCCACAGAATGTTAATAATGTTTCTTCAACTAGAAACAAAAATAAATAAAACGAAGGACCATGCAAGACAAGCTTTCAAATATTTTTTTTTAATATAATTGCATTTCTTAGGAAGCCTAATACTATTGGAACTCCTTTTTAAAAGATGATTGATTTGATTCGATCTGATCTGATCTGATTTACATCCTGCATTTCTTACAGGATGGTGAATACAATACTGTCCTATTTTTTTTCCCACAACAACCTACTTGTGGGATAATCTATGGAGACAGAAACTGACTGGCACAAACTTACTCAATGAGTTCCCATGGCTGTGAGTGGATTTAAACCTTGATCTTTAAATCCTGGCTCAAAATTCAACATTCAATTAATGAAGGAGAGAAGCAACCTAGAACTAAGGAGAAATTTTCTGACAGGTTGAACAATTAATCAATGGAACAACTTGCCTCCAGAAGTTATAAATGCTCCAATACTGGAGGTTTTTAAGAAGAGGTTGGATAACCATTTGTCTGATATAGGGTCTCCTGCTAGAACAGGGGGCTGGACTAGAAGACCTCCATGGTCCCTTCCAACTTATTATTCTGTTATTATAAGTACTACACCATACTGGCTCTCCTTCAGAGTAAGTGACCCTTAATTCAATGCCACATGGTTCCAATAAACTGTAAGTTTACACATATATGTGAATGGAATTGGAACTGAAAGACGTCATCCGTTTACCCACCCATCCTTCCATCTACCAAAACTGCAACAGAATCATTTGTCAATCCATATGGGGAGGGAGAGAGACTTAAGTAAACAGTGGCATAGAAGCCTGTTGACAAGTTCCAGATAAAGCTCTGAATAACTGAAGAATCATTGGACAAAGTTGACAAGCCACAGCCCAACATTTGGATGAGTGAGATTTCTAATCAACTAAGATCAGTGAATTTTTTGCAATTGATGTCACCAAAAATAACTTTGAAACACCTAAGTGCTTATACTCTCATTAGTTCAAGTATTATTTACAAACTATAAGAAAAAAAAATAATGAGTCCTAAAATACACTTAAAAATGCATAATTGACAAAAAATAAAACCTTTAACCTTAAAACATTTAGAAAAAAAATGACTTGTCTATTGTTTCAATATGATTCTTTTAGTCAACAGCCTCTCTGCCCCTGTGTTCAATATAATAATTCCTGATAAATAGTCAGTTTCAAGAACTTTGGTATATAGTTCAACATTGCAATAAAATATTTAACATTTAAAGCAAGGACCCCCAACCCCCCAGGCCACAGCCCACTACTGGGCCACAGCCCATTCAGAACTGGGCCATGCAAGCAGCGGATGAGCGCTTGCACACACACAGCTCCATTTCAATATGTGGCACACACACCTGCCACTCACACAAAACTATCTCCTCCCCCACCCCGCTGCCAGTCCACCAAGCTGGAAAAGCTGGGGACTGTGATTTAAACAGTTCCATGCAATTCCACTTACATATATATTATTACATTATTCCCCCCAAAATATTGGACAACCAAATGACCATATCATACAAGTCATTGAACCCTCAATTTTTTTAAACCACCAACACAGAAAATCTGATATGTATCCTTTTAAATGCATCCTTTTGGGAGTCCAATATACCCTAAATATGTTTTTTTTATAAATCAGCTTTAATCTCAGATGCATAGATATTTTTTAAAATGTGAATCCATTGTTAGGGGCATTACTGGAGATTCCAGTTCTTTATGTTTGGAATGTCCCAGAATTGTCCACTATAATAGTTTCCATGCGTGTATGTGAACATAAAATCTAGTTTTATTTCTGTCATGGGTTCCATCATGTAGGAAAACATCTTGGGTGTCTGCTTGTGCTCTCATTCATGGCTTCTCCTTTTATAGCCATTCACCCTCCAACCCTCCATTTGATGGACATTGCAGTCTGGACAGCAAGAGATTGGGAGAAGCTGCTCTACATATTCCCTTGCAGGTTGCTTGTGTCTCACTTGTTTCATCTTTGCTGCAAAGGTTGGGAAAGAAATTTCACCATGGATGCTGTTTCCTGCCCTTCTCCAAGAATTTTGAATAATCAAATGATTAGACTTTCAACAACAACAAAAACAAGCCTTGTTTGTCTTTGGTGTGTATATGCTTGCTCCTTCTTGAGTCTCTCTCCCTCCCTCCCTCCGTGTGTGTGTGTGTGTGTGTGTGTGTGTGTGTGTGTTCACTTTCATTTCTATAAAACCCAAAACCTTATCAGAAAACACAGTATAACAGTCAAGCCAAGAGTAGAGCTGTGTACACAAGCCTAAAATTGTGAGAACACTGCTCAGATCAATCACAATTCTGACAATGGAGGCAGGAGCTTGTATTCATTCAAGTATTCTGCTGGAGTCACAGGCCAGCGATAAGCAAGGACAGATTCTAAAAATAGTGATGAATCTTAAAACAGAAACATGGAACTTGCTAACTTATTTCCCACCGCTCTAGCCCACTCAGTTCTAGCTCAGTGGTTGCCAACGAGTGGTCCACGAGAAAATTTTGGTGATCCGCAGAGAAATGTCACCCCCAGATCACCCCCACAAAGCAATTAATCTATTGAAACAACATATCTTACTTCTTGTTCTATATTTTTGCTATTCTGTTTATCTCAGTTTTGGGGTCAGTTTTCAGAAAACAAATAAACTAATGGTTTGGTTTCTTAGGTGGCCTAGAGATTGCTGCTTCAACTAACTGTAACAAGGCATTATGTCTGGATCAAACAGTTGCTGATAATACTACCAATGTCATTTTGTGATGCTATGTGAGGTGAATGGACAGCTTGACCTGAGGAAGTCCTCAGAGAAGTGAAAAGGATTTGCCCATTTGATGTTATCCAAACCCATATTTTTCTTAACCACTCCCATGTTCGGTGTTTGCTTTGAAAAAGAGCCAATTATTTGATACTTAATCAAAACAACAAGGAACAGTCTGCAGTTATACTGTTTTTGTGTGTGTGTGTGTGTGTGTGCGCGCGCGCACACACACACACACGCACGTGTGTAGGCTGTGGATCCCTTTTCGCCTTGTTGGAACCTCTTCTGATTATAAATGCAGCTTCCTGTCATTTGACATAGGAAACAGATGAAAGATCTCAAATAGATCTCACATTTAACAGGAAACTATGCCAAAACCTTGCTCTGGGTGCATATGTGCTATAATTCTGCACATTCTAACAGCATTTAGCTCCTCTCCAGAAGCCACTAATTTCTGATTACAAACAATAAAAATAATCCAGAAAAGCTTAGTCTTTCTTTCTTTTCTTTTCTTTCTTTCTTTCTTTCTCTTTCCTTCCTTCCTTCCTTCCTTCCTTCCTTCCTTCCTTCCTTCCTTCCTTCCTTCTTCTGTCTGCCTATTTTTTATCTAGACAGAGATAGGGATTGAACTGGTACCTCATAAATATATGGCTCTTGTCCTGCTTTTATCTTATTTGTTTTTATTTATTAAACACCATTTTATTGATTTAATACTAAGGCATAGAGTAGGCATATTCAGAAAGGCTTTTCAAAGATTGAGGGAACCAAACATACTGCACACTGTCTTGTTCTGTATGTTGAATGATACTTTGGTGAGATGGGTAATACCTAAAATAATGCCTATAAATAATGCTTGGAAACTTCTCCTCCCGCTTTGAACATGCCATGACATGGAAGCTATCATTACTATTTTGGCTCCTTTCGCTGAAATCCTGCTAAATTTCTTTTCCAGGACTGAAGACCTGAGTCCAAGGAAGGAAAAGAGATGTCTAGAGGGAAATCACAACATTCCCTGCCATGACAGAAAAATTTGACCTGCCAATGGCAGATTACAACCAGCCCAAGCTTCTTTATTGCAGCAATGGAGGTCAGTTCCTGAGGATCCTTCCGGATGGCAAAGTGGATGGCACAAGGGACAGGAGTGACAACCACAGTAAGCGGCTGTTATTGTTATTGTAGCTGTTATTTCTGACCCAACTAATAAGTTCAGTGACCTTCTCTTAGTGGCTTTCAACTTTGTGGCATGGCAAAAGATTTGGAGGCATCCTGTGAAGACCAAATGATTCTGGCACAATTCATAAAAAAACATGTCATTCTGTCATTTAATGAGGGTAGAAACAGCATGCAGGGACCTGTCCCTATCCCTATCCAGTTTGAGTGGTCCTGATACATTCTGGCTGATATAACAAAGCATCACATTTATTTTTAGAGGACTACTATAAATAAGATGTCAAATGCTACACACACATCCACATCCACACACATATCCACAAACACTGAAAGTCAAGTCAGTTAAGTAGTCAGAAGTAACCCATCCAAGGCCCATTAGAGTTTTTAAGTGTGGTGTTAATTAAACCATTAACTCAAACATAAATTGTAGTTGGCTATATCTAATAGTAGTAGCACTTAGACTTATATACCGCTTCATAGTGCTTTACAGCCCTCTCTAAGCAGTTTTCAGAGCCTATTGCCCCCAACAATCTGGGTCCTCGTTTTACTGACCTCAGAAAGATGGAAGGCTGAGTCAACCTTGAGCCTGGTGGGATTTGAACTGCTAAATTGCAGGCAACCGGCAGTCATCAGCCTACAGTACTGCATTCTAATCACTGTGCCTCCACAGCTCTTATAAGCAGAGCCAGAAGACCTATATTCTATTTGTATAATTAATCAACCATACCTTCTGGAGACACAGCCTGAAGGTCAGAATGGCATGCAGCTGCATACCACCCAGTCCACAATTGTTTATTTTATTTTATTTAGTTATTTTATTTGTCCAAAGCTTACAATATAACAGAAACAAGAATAAACATAAGTTTAAATACAAGGAATAGGAACTAATAATTGGGGACAATAAGACAGGGACAGTAGGCACGATTGTGCGCTTATGCCCGACCCTTTGTTTGTTCCCCAAACAATTTCATTTGAATATGATTGGACCCTGGGAGATCAGCAGTGGGGAGTCGCTCAAGGGTGGAAAGCTAAACTTAAGAGGTTTTGGTGCCCAAATTTCAGTTCTGGCTTGGCTCTACTGTATTCCGCTTGACCTGTAGTAAACTATACCTTTTTCACCAAACTGAATCAAGGATTGTTCTTATTTAAAGGTTCTAGCTGATGCAGGGCTGACACTATGTCAGTCTCCAAATATTCTCCTCTCCTTCTGTTAGTTGAAGAAAGGATTGGATATGTTGTACCAGAATAACAAAGCTCAGTGGTGGGATTCAAATTTTTTTACTACTGGTTCTGTGGGCGTGGCTTGGTGGGCCTGGCAGGGGAACGATACTGTAAAATCTCCAGTCAGAGATAGTATTTGCTGGTTCTCAAACTACTCAAAATTTCCGCTTCCGGTTCTCCAGAACTGGCCAGAACCTGCTGAATACCACCTCTGACAAAGCTCCAGATGAAGACCCATAATGAGATTTTATGCAACATGCTTGCAAAAGCCAAATTATATTTCTGTTGTGCCTCTTTCTGGCAATATCTTCTGGAAGAGACGGGTAAAGTGCCATAATTATTATTTTTTTAACATTTCCCTACCCTGAGCATATTCAATCAATTGATCCAAATAGGGAAAAAAAATATTGTTCTGTGCTATTGCATAGCACTTACCAACAGTTTACAAAGGCTGTTTCAACATCATGAATCCCCTGTAATATCTAACTGGGCTCTTAGTTATTTTTAACAGATGTATGATTTGGAGGGGAGAAAAGCTCTCCACAGTCTTTAAACATAATGTTTGTCTGGATTAACTGTTGCACCCCTGTTCATTTGGACTAAATCCACTGACGGTTGCCTTTTGCTTTAACCACATCTATTACTAGTACAGTGGGAACCCACAAATGTATTGAAAATAGTGCCAGGAGAAATCGCAACATCTCTATCTAGGAATCCACGGGGTCCTGCATAAGCAAAGGGTTGGACTAGAAGACCTCCAAGGTCCCTTCCAACTCTCTTATTCTATTAAATTCTGTTAGATTTCAGCTACAATAGCCCACCTTTTAGGAAAGTTTACACCAGCAATTGACCTGCGATACTGGTATTCTAAAGAGGACTACAAGAAAATTGGACCTATTTCTGCTGTGGCAGCAAAAACTATAAACATGTCTTATAAGCATTTAAAGCTTGTAGCTGCTCTCCTTTACATATATTAAATCTCCCACTGACATTCCCTTCTTGATAATACCCATTTGCCTGTTTGTTTGAAGTGGCATCCTTGCACTAATTTAAAGTCTGTTGTCTTGCCAAGACAAAATGCCTTTTATGTCTGTTTGTGCAGGATGTATTCTCAGCTCGGATTCATTTTCCTGAGGGAGTAGAATCTACTGAAAAGCCTCCTCTGTGCCATAACAGCCTGGAAAGAGGAAATGAGAAGGCTAGGAAATCTGCAGGAGTCTATCTTTATTTCTTAGGACACAAACAATTTGGTCTATTGATCCGAAGCTTGCTCTTTGTGCCACACTCAATAAAAATGTCCAGTTGACCGAGAAGCTGACAAAATGCAGTTTTAACCCTACTTTTGCGTATTATTAACTAGAGCATGAAGTTTGCTGGGTTTTGCCACTGTAATCCTGTTTCAGATTTAATGATCTTCACAATGGACCATGCCAGCCAAATATTTCTGTACTAACAAGAAAGGTACAAAGCAAAATTGTAACTCATCAATCAGTCTCCCTAAGTGTATACAGGCAAAATACCCACTCAGATGCCTGAGATTTATCCCCTATCAGCAGGAAAGGACAGAAATAGAAGGGACAAGGCAGAGTGAAACCCTCTCCCCTCTTAGGATTTTTTTCCCCGTTTGTTTTGTCTTTTGTGTGTGTGTGTGTGTGTGTGTGTGTGTGTGTGCGCCTTTGAATTAATCTTGACTCCTGGTGATTGCCTGGACAACCCCTGCCATTGTCTTTGCAAGATTCTGAACCAATTTGCCATCCTCTCCTTCTTCTTAGGGCTGAGAGAGAATGAATGGCCCAAGATCATCCAGCTGACATCATGCCTAAAGTGGGACTTTTGCTGGGAGATATTATTATTCTGGTTGATTTCAGAGTCAGCCAGATGTTTAGGCTGGGTTTGGGCAGTGGTGGTATTCAAAAAATTTTTATTTCCAGTTCTGTGGGAGTAGCTTGGTGGGTATGGTGTGGCTTGGCGGGCATGGCAGGGGAAGGATATACCGCAAAATCTCCATTTCCACCCCCCTCCAGAGGAAGGATACTGTACAATCCCCATTCCCTCCACACTCTGGGGGAAAGTTACTGCAAAATCCTATTCCCTCCCCCACCCCATTAACCTGTTTTCCAGTTCCATTCTCCTGTGCAGGGCAAACAAAGAAGACCAACCGATCCGCTGGGACTCGGGAGGCAGAAAATAGATGGGGGCGGGGCCAGTCAGAGGTGGTATTTGCCGGTTCGCTGAACTACTCAAAATTTCTGCTACTGGTTCTCCAGAACCTGTCAGAACGTCTGGGTTTGGGATTTTGGTCCACTTATCAAGTGCTTTCAAAGGGCATAGGACAGGCAGATATTGTTTTTTAATAATATTAAAGGTGTTGCTACAGGATATTATCATTACGGTTCATTGCACAATCAGCCAGATGTTCAGACTGGATTTGATATGTCTACCTATCAAGTGGCTGATGTGGATATTTGATGGTATTATCATTTTTGGTTCATCGCACAGTCAGCCAGATGTTCAGACTGGATTTGGCTGGATTCCACCTACTGAGTCCTGAAATAGGCAGATGTGGCTTTATTAAAAGTATCATCAAAGGATGTAATTATTATTGTTATTATTGGTATGCAGATTGTCCCAAATTTAGTGCTACCTAACACAATAGCTGCATTTAGCTGACTTTATTTGATCTTAAAATTAAGCAGGATCAAACATGGTCAGTGTGACTGAGTGGGGGATTCTTGGGTAATCCCAAGATTGTAGCCCAAACTATTAAGTTAAAAGAGGAATCCTAAAATGGTATTGTAGTACAGGAAGCTACATGATTGAAGCTAGATCATCAACAACTGAGCTTCACTCAAGGGAGATGAGCTTTACTTATTAAAAAAAAAAGAGTTCAATTATTCCATGTTTCTATTATTCAACAGATTTTTATGTGGTAAGAAAAAAAATATGCAATCAGTACAAAAGCAAGGGTGGGTAACAAGTGAAAGTTGCCAACGTAAATCTGAATCAGATAGGGGTATGTGGTGACTGTACAACTAACATCTCATCTGGAAAGTCCTTACATCTGCTAGTATCTATCCAGTGGTAGTGCAGGGTAGAAAACTGGCTTTTGGCCTCTGATAGGAAGCAAATTTTCCCATGCTATCAGTTAATCTGCCTTTCCATTCTTTGTGCTTTTGCAGGTTTACAAATTGACTGTCTTCTTTATGACTCTACAGTATATGTGCATGATTTATCTACTTCTAGTTCTCCACTTCTTTTTCTATATTTCTAATATATTAATCACATATATACTATGCAAATCTTGAAATATTTGATGCTGGGATGAAATTCCTTGCATTGTGCTTTGCTGAGCACTAACTAGAATACAGCTGGATTCCTTGGTGCAAGATGTGCTGAAGATGGAGTCGAACGCACATGCCAATTCTAAGAAAAGCACTTATTTTAAAAAAGAAAAGCCACAAGAATACTTGGTTTTCCTTCCGTGCCCCAGCTCTGCTCTCTCTCTCTCTCTCTCTCTCTCTCTCTCTCTCTCCCTCCCTCTCTTTTTTTTTTCTGAAGTTGGTTGAGGTTTATTACATATTCATGCTTGAACCCTCAACACTGGTCTGAAAGAAGATGATCTCATCCTGAATAAACACAGCAAAGGACAGGCAGGAAGTCGCTAATGTAGAGTAAACTGGCATATAGCCTTTCTGAAATCTTGTTCAAGTGATAGAGGTAGGAAAGCAAACAAGGTAGAGATTCTGTAAAAGCACAAGTGTGCTTCCAGTTTTCAAGAACAAGCACAAGACAAAATGCCACATGCTGTGAAATCACTTATCAGAAATCCATGCCCAAGGAGGCAGCCTGATTTCAAGTGCTACATAGGCTAAATGGGACTCACTTTTCGGAAATTTTGGCTAAGGATCCTCATTTCTTAACTCAGAAATCTCCTGCAGGGGTCTGGACTTGCTGACATCCTGTGCTCACTCTGGGATCTAAAAATGTACATAACAAATTCTTCATGTCTCATACAGCTGGTTTCTTAAAAATCAGCCATTTCCATCCCTGCTGTAGACCTTTTCTCAATCACGAAAATGCCATGCATGGAAAGTGTAATGCCAGCACTTTGAATTTCAACATTAGGTTCCAACAGCAGCCTAGTCAAAACACTTGTGATGAAGTGCTTAGATATTAAGCGTAAATCAAAATGTCTCTCTTCTAGATCGCAGTTCTTCAACCTGGTTTCCTCCGATAACATGGAGTTTGAACTCCCAGAACTTCCGGGGCAGTATGATCATGGATTGGGTCAGCCTATTCCCATTGCCCTTATTCTTCTAGGTATCAATGACTCAATATCTTGACTGTCTGATAATCAGATTTCCAAAGCAATCCACTGGCTTTGTAGCTTTCTTCAAGCAAAACCAAGTAATATGAGGAACACCTAGCATCCAGGCTTGAATGAAATAGTTTCCCATGTGACATGGGAAATCTTCCACAAGAAAAAGAAGTTGCATTGCCATGATGAGAAATGCCAAAAATGCACAGAAAGCCACTTCAAGTCTCCAACCTGAATCAAGAGATCTACCTTGAAGCCATTATGCCATTGCAGAATGCATGTGTGAATCATCACTCCCGTGAATGGATGCACCAGATAAGAAAAGAAACTAATTTCATGGCAACAGAAGGGAAGATGTCTAGATTGACAACTGCACATCCATCAGTAGACAGGGGTTATGAGAATGAGAGAAAAACCACTTGTATAAATACTTGGCAGGTTTAATAGAGGAAGCCTTTCATCATCCCCATGCTCATCAAGGATAGAAGCCTCGGCTATACATACTTTTAAACACTATGAAATAGAGAGAGGCAATGAATTATAGTTGGTAGGAGCCTTTTGGAGCACTGAGTCCAGTCCGCTGGCCTAGGGGAAATGGGAGTCAAAAGTCAGGCTGCCAGCCACAATCATACGTGTGTGTGTGTGTGTGTGTGTGTGTGTGTCTTTGTGTCTGTGTTTGTGTGTGTATGTGTGTGTGTGTGTGTAGATGTGGATGTGGATGCTAGCTTGACTTTTTCCTTTACCCCCAATCCCATAGACACACTGGTCAGGACAGGTATCCAAATTAAAGCCTCCTTAAAAGGTCAGAGCTTCTGTTTGAATGTAAGACCATTCTTTCAAGTCTTCCCTCTGGAACCATAGAGATTTTTTTTTCCAGTATGGTATTTTTTTTCAGAGGTATAAAGCGGTTTTTTATGGCCCACCAGTCTGTGTTTTTTTGTTGTTTTTTTTAATACGTACGTCACACATACCTGCATTTCAAACTAAGCAACTTCGGGCTTTTTCAGAGTTGCCTAAAATAGGCCCAACTTCAGCATGAAAGGTACAACTTGATGCTCTAGGATTGCATGCTACTCTAAAAAGATCTTTCAGAAAGGAATGGACCCCCCCAGAGCTCCTTCAAATGTAGCCAAGGAATTTTCATGCTCCAAGTGACAGAAGAAGAACATGATTAACCTGGGAAGTAATGATATCAACTGGATTTATTTTATTTTTTAAAGTCCTACAAGAGCATTACTTTTGTTTGTTCCTGCCCACTTTTTGGGTCTGTGCTTTTCTATGACTGAGAAAATCCAAACCCCTAAGTTTGAAGGGCTTGCTTTTGTTGTCATAAGACTATATGAAAAATCCTGCTGCCTGTTAATTCAGCCTTTGGTTTTCAAAAATGGCCGGATATTCTGGGTATTCACAACCAGGAACACACACATAAAGGCATTTTGTTTTCATAGCTGTTGGGTGATGACAGCCTTTGAATTTGTTGATATTTCCTAACAACCACCCAATTTAGTGTTCAGTTCTGGTTTTATACTTATGAATTTATTTCTTCTATTTCTGTTTCTAACCTGAGGCTCCCAGAAGTTCTGGCTAATATTTCCCATAACTGGGAATTCCGGAAACTGTACTGTAATTCAGCACATCTTGATAAAATTCCAATTTGGGGAAAGATTCCCTAACATATCAGGGAGGGAGGGAGGAAAGCAGGCAGGCAGGCAGGAAGGCGGGAGGGAGGGAGGGAGGGAAGGAAGGAAGGAAGGGAAGAAGGAAAGAAGGAAGGAAGAAGAGTGGGAGGGAGGGAAGGAGGGAGGGAGCGAGGCAAGCAGGCAGGAAGGCAGGCAAGCAGGCAGGCAGGAAGGAAGGAAAGAAGGAAGGAAGCAAAGAAGGAAGGAAGGGCTGATTAGGGGTAAAAAACCCATTAGATATCACTAAAATTATAATTTTCTCTTTCTCCTGGAAGTAGTTTCAAGCCAACACATTCTACAAAAAAAAAGCATGTTTGCTAATGCTAGAAATGAATTTATTGTAAATGAGTTATTAAACTTGGACATCCTGTTGAAAAAATATTTACAGAGGAAACTCTTTAAACGGTAATGTGCCAGTGGAATAACCCTAGTTACAGAGTACACTTCTTGGTGCAGACTGTGTAAATAAACTTGGGTAGTGCCCTTACTTTCCACAGCCCATTAAGCTAATGCAATTATATTTGTATAGAGCTAGGAAGGGATTCAGAAAAGCCTCGGTTCTGTCTTCGGAAACCAGGCTTGGCAAGTTGGGGTCCCTGATCTGCACGAGGTTCTCAATCCTTCTTTTCGCAAGCCAATCAGGCTAAACCAGGCCCGATGAATACATTTGCATGCAATCAGAAATTCCTAGGATAACACCAAAGCATTATCAGTCTTGGCAATTAACTTAGCCCTCACTGCACAGCTTCAACAATAGCTATGTATTAACAGTGATTCATAATCTCTCCTATTTTTTCTTCTTCTTTCAAACTGTAGTTCAGTTACTGCTCAGCACAGAATATTTTGGTGCTGTGTACATAAAGGGTATCGGATCTGGACTGTACTTGGCTATGGATGTCAATGGACGCTTACATGGCTCGGTAAGTATAAAGTTCCCATGATCTTAATTATAGGGAAGCTTTGAGGATGGCAAAGTTCTTGTAGCTTGCTTGGAATCAAAAATCATTCACACATGCACAATTAAATGTCAGTTGCTTTTGCTGCTGGGTGGATGCTTTTGGGGCAATTTTTATTTCTGGAGAAAGAAAGAGAAATATTTGAAAACAACATTCCTAAACATTTTAGCTATTAGAAAGTGGCAGGGTTCCTCCAGATAAGATGAAACCATTAGAAGGAATTCAGACATATTTAAATCTAAACTAAATAAAGGATCATCCGGTAATTGGGTTTGCTGTGTTTTGCTGGTCTATGACCATAATTTAAAAAAAACCCAATGGGAAGACTTATTAACAGCCTTGCAAGATAAATGGAAAGTACCTTGCTAAGCAGCAAGGATCTGGGGCAAAAGGGTTAATTTTATCATCTGCCAAAAGGCAGCAGATAGTCAGGCTTTCCCACCTTCTAAAGTGGGACCAGAAAGAGTCCAACTCTTCCACAATCCAAACGCAATCATGATAGTCCTTCGGTGCCATAAATGGGTTTTGCTCATTGTATTTGCTTCCGTTCTGACTGCTCCCAAACTCTTTTATTTTAGCAGTTTCCAACAGCAGAGTGTGTGTTCCTGGAAAAATTGGAAGAAAACAATTACAATACTTACAAGTCAAAGATGCACGCGGATAAGAACTGGTATGTTGCCTTGAAGAAGAATGGAAACAGCAAATTGGGACCGAAGACTAATTATGGCCAGAATGCAATTCTTTTCCTTCCTCTGCCAGTGTCACCTGATTAGATTGCTTCTGTCCCTCCATTAGAAAAGTTGCCCTCTAAAATTAAGCCACCAGTGAACTTTGCCTTTTGTCCCCTTTGATTCTTTCTCATCCTGGAAACAAACAAAAAGGTGGACAACAAAGTATTTGAGATGGAAAATATGCACGGCATCTCTAAAATGTCCATTCGGCCTCAACAATTTCATTCGCATACCATAGCATTACCTACAAAATGAATCTGTTAACATTCCTAAAAAAGCATTTATCTTAGTGTATAGTTCCCATAGCCATAGACAGCCTATAATACATCTTCTCATCCTGAAAATGCATATTATTCATGAAGCCCATTTCAAGGTTTTATAAGACAGCTTTTAAGAATACTTGTGTATCACACAGAAGCAAAATCCTTAAACTATATAACCATTTAAAACCAATAAACTATTGTGCCAAGGGCAAAGAAATATATATATATATATATATATATATATATATAAACCAAAACCTGGAACGTCACATCACAGCCACCCGCTCAGGATATCACATCATGGAACTCAGGAGATTACAGCACAAAACCCAGGATGCCAAAACAATAGAACTCAGAAGGTCATCACACAGCCCATTACCCAGGTCATTACAACACAGGAGGCCGATAGACACACAGCCAATACTTCAGCCACACATGTTCTTATAAAAAAGCCAGCCAATCTGCAAACATCAACTCCATCAACCAATCAAGAATTGACAATACAGCCAACCTCCCCACCAATATTTATAGAGAGACGGCAGCTCAGATCATGCTTTGCTCGCACAAGCACGAAGCCAAAAACACCAGCCTGAAGATGACGAGTGGGACCTCGTCGAAACATCGCCAAGACACTCTCAATCTTACATGGGAAAAGACCCAAACACACCAAGATCTGCATAATTGTACCCATGAAAATCTATGAATATATATATATATATATATATATATAGAGAGAGAGAGAGAGAGAGAGAGAGAGAGAGAGAGAGAGAGAATATATATATATTCTTAAGTTTTCGCGGGTACTTACATGTATGGCATTCAGCTTTGTTCAGGTATTTTCCCACGTCATTGTAGTTGTGCTTTTAAAAGTTGTAGCAATGTTTCGGCAGAATCTCATCTGCCATCATCAGGCTTCTGTATTGTGTTCGTCTGTGAGTCAGACTTTCACAGCCATTTTAGTTTTAAATTTGGGGCTAGCCTACTGCTGTGCCAGAATGGTTTTTTCTTCATCCTGATTAGTTGGGAGTCTTGGTCTGTGTTTATTCGTCTTAGAGTTGGTGTGTTCTGCTTGATTAGTGTTTCTAATATCTTCTGTCTGTTTTGTAGCTTTTTCTGTCTTGATTGGCTGGCAATATTGTGTTCCTGTATTGGAGCCTTTTAGTGTGGCTTGGCTCCGAGTAAATGGACGGCTATCATTTATTAGGAAGCTAGGTTTCATCTGGGTGCCTGGTTGGGGTGTGTTTGAGCTGGAGGTATCGGGGGGGGGATCTGTTTGTGCCCAGGTGTTTGCCTGGCTTGTGGTGTGGAGATTTTTTTGTTTGTGAGTGCAGGCTTCCAAATAATTGACAGTCTGGTGGAATCATCTGTTCTATTCATGCTTTCTGGTCTTTTTTCAATCTATATGACTTCTCTGATAATTCTGTGGCTGGGATCCAAAAATTATGTTGCTAAGTGAAAAATTTGTTAAGTGAGTTTGCCTCATTTTGTGACTTTTCTTGCCATAGTTAAGTGAATCATTGTATTTATTAAATTAGTAACACGTTAAGTGAATCTGGTTTCCTCACTGACTTTGCTTGTCAGAAGGTCACAAAAGATGATCACATGACCCCGAGACACTGCAACCATCATAAATATGAACCAGTTGCCAAGCATCTGAATTTTGATCATGTGACCATGGGGATGCTGCAAAGGTTGTAAGTGTGAAAAACTGTCATAACATTTTTTAGTGCCATTGTAACTTTGAACGGTCACTAAATGAACTGTTGTAAGTCGAGGACTACCTGTAAACCATGGGAACGCTGCCTCTGATTAAAAGCCTGATGATAACATTGCCACAATATGTGGTTGCATCAACAAAACTCCCTAGCTATATGCTACAGTAACTGGTCTTTTTCCATGTGAAATTTATTTATTTACATTGATTTAAAAAATGCTCTATTCCAGGTGACTCTGGGTTCTTTACGTAATAAAAGCAGAACAATAAAAGAAAATCAGATGATATGTGTTCAGATAGATTGAATACAAAAGAATAAAACTATCTGAGTAAAAGAGTAAAATCGTATTTATACCCAAATCTTATAGTGGTTCACCCAGGACTTTGTCCCAAAACTTGGGAAAATAGCCCCATATAACATTATCAGTGTCGGAGCCATATGGGTCTCTGGAGGAAAATGATTATCTCTGTTTAACAGAAGAGACTTAAAGTGTACAAACTCTGCCAGATTTTATCAGATGAGCAAAAAACGAGATATGCAGGAACCTTATTAATATCCAGATCAGAGGTACCAAATGGGCTCATGGGTTTTAAATCCAGAAATGTCTGTGGCTTTGAAAGAAGAAGCCAGTGAGGGTAATTATAATTATGGTTATAAAGATAATGCGTATGTTACATGTGCAACAGCCGTTCAAATGGAAGATAGGAGAGCAAGAATTAGGAATGGAACACTGGGGAATCGAATTGAATTATTATAGGTTTTTCCCATCCTGTATATCATTCAGAACCTAATATACCCTGTTAATTGCTGCATTGTCCTGTGCTTGAAGATAGTGTTTGCAGAAAAGTGCTGAAGTGCCCAATAAGCTGCAAGTGACAACAGCATGTTCTTCCTTAGATAAAGTGGGCCTATTCATTCACGGTCCTGGATTATGTTAGACTACTTGCATAGAGCTCTGCTTTCTTTGGTTGTATTGGTTTGCGCGCTGTGCTTCTAACTAAAGAAAATTTACAACTTAAATATTTGCCTGTTTTATTCCAATCTAGCCACTCAGGAGCCATCTAAGTAGAACAAACAGGAATAGGAAGGGGATATGGCCATGGAACATTTTGTCCGCAATGAACTGCCTGTTCCAAGTCTGGCACTGCCACTCCATGAGGACCTACAGCCCGTTTCCTAACTAAAATCCCAAATCAATTTTCTGCAAAACATAATTTACCCAAGATTCCAAAATGGGTTGCGTTGGTTGAGGATCTGAAGATAGCATTGCAGAGGGCCACAAACAGCCCACCTAGCTTATCAGAGCACAGGGTCTCATCGTTAGAATCTGGAGGCCAAATGAAGGGCTGGATTACATGATCAGGTATATTGCCCAATTTACCATTTCATGCTCTGACTAAGCCTGAGTGGCTCTCAGTCACTTCCCTTTGATGTTAACAGAACTGTTCATCATATTGCAGCGAAATTTTCCTAAGCATCCACCAGAAACTATTGTGAACCATCATGATAGGTGTCTGTAGCGATCCATTAGAATGAGCTTGGGAGATCAGACCAGATTAGATCAGGTCCTCCAGGAAGAAACAACATAAAACTTTGCAGATATGCCCATGTAGCACAAAAGTCCATCTCAGCTCAAGAAAATATTTCCCTGTTTTAAATGTGCACGGAATTATAACCCAAGTTTATACATTTCTCAAGATTTTGCTCTGCATCTCGGTAGTGGAAAAGTGCTCTTTGCTTGACATGCTTGTTTCTGTGGACTTGATAAATACTTGCACAAAATACCATAACATAAATGCAGTGCCATCCACAGGAGCTCACTGTTTCTGTCACACAAAAATGGGGGGGAGTGCATAATGAAAGGGAAATTAAAGCATATTGGTTGACTTTTGATCCAGGCAAGCTTAGATTTCTGAGCAGGAAATCTGCAGTCAGACATAAAGGATCTTAGAAATTAGCCAGCTTGAGGGCAACAAGCATAAGCACTTATTTGAAAATGCCTTTTGCAAGCTCTGATTTTTAAAAAAATCTTTGTTCCAATTCAAACACAACAGTTTGGGGAAGGACAAATCTCCGGCAAATTCAGCAAGTCTTAGCAATTGATACATTGGTAAAACAGCTTCCAATCATAATCTCACAGATTTGTTCCATTTTTGTCCTGTCTTAACTCCTGTCAGGCTTTATCCTGTCTATGATCCAACTTATCTCATTCCTTCCTCTTCAACCCTATAACAAAGGAAAATGCCAACCAAATGAAGATCGCATCATCTCTCAGTAGCTACCGTGTTTCTTGACTCCCCCCAAAATGGCTAGGCCATCTTTTCGGGGGTGACTTAATTCTCCCCCCACTTGCATCCTCCGGTGGGCGGGTGGCCACAGCTTGGATGTTGACCTCAGCGTTGGTGGGGCACTTCGTATCGGGAGACCTTCTGCCACCATTGCTTTCCCTTCTCCCTTGCTGCCGCAGCTTTTAGAGCAACACCGCGGCATTTGGCGCAGCCACGTGCGGTCAGACAGGGCTCCTCCCTGCAACCGGAGCCTTTGTTGTAGTAGGGTGTCATTTTTAAAAGAATTGGCTTTACCTTCGAAGGCAAAGGGAAGGCGGCGACAGGAGCACCTGAAGCCAAGTGTCTCCACAGGGCTCCGGTTGCAGGGAGGAGCCCTGGCTGGCCGCGCATGGCTGCGCCAAATGCCGCGGCATTGCTCTAAACGCTGTGGCAGCAAGGGAGACGGGAAAGCAATGGTGGCGGAAGATCTCCCGATACGAAGTGCCCCACCAATGCAGGCAGCACCATATCCGGGTATGCAACAAAAGTACTTCCTAACGGCAAGCCCCGCCCCCTGCAATTTCCCCCCCCACTTTATATGGGCCTTAATTTGGGGGGAGGGGCTTAATTTGATTTTATGTCAATGAAACATGGTGGGGCTTCCTATTGGTGGAGGCCCTATTTTTGGGGAAACACGGTATTCTGTCATCCGGGTTCTTTTTCCTTTATTAATATGGATAAGTTTCACTGTTGCATATTTTTTGATAAGGTCAATGCTCAAGTCTATCAACAACCTTTTGAACATTTAAAACCCTCAAGCCCTCACAGCTTCAACCTCAAACTGTCTGCCATGGACCTCACCCCATTTTTAAGAGGTTCTTAAAGGGGGCGTGCATAAGTGCACCAGCGTGCCTACCGTTCCTGTCTTACTGTCCCCATTTATCTGTATTTGCTTCCTTTGTTCATGTTTATGTTCATACCTATACTTGTTATCTTGTACA